AAAATAACTGGCGAACCACCTAACTCACCAACAACCAAAAATCCACTAAAAGGGTGGTTTGGGATTTGATTATGATAGATGAAGATGATGAAATGATAGATGAAGGAGGAGAGAGAAAGATAATGGGTTTGATTATTTGGGGGTGATTTCATAGATAATTAATTTAGATTAAGGTTATAATGGATTGCAATTATGTGTAGCATTATGTGTTTAAAAATTTTAAGGGTATATTGGTCATTTTGACAGAAAAAAGTTTCCAAATAAGGAAAAAAAATAAGTTTTTGCAAGAAATGAGAACCACTCTAAAATGGCAAATGTTGCAAGAAATAAGAAACGGAGGGAGTAATATAATTTCTAAGCTCGACTTAATCAAGGCTTGACTCAATTTCGATGATCTTTGATCAAGCAATTCTTATAATTCAACTTGAAAAGCTAACGAGAATTTCAAAATTTGTATGTATAGTATATTTAATGTTTTTAATAAACCAAAATATTTTGAAATTCTTGTTAGCTTTTCAAGTTGAATTATATTAATTGACAATCCAAAAAATTCTTAATGAAACATTTGGCAAAAATTGAAAAGCTGACGAGAATTTATATTTTGGTTTATTAAAAAATTTATTCAACTTGAGTCCTATATATCTCAAATTCTCTCCAAATTTCTTCATATGTAGACATTAGAATTTCCTCATATATATATATATATATATATATATATATATATATATATATATATATATATATATATAATATATTACAACGGTCCAAAAAGAGAATTAATTCCTAGTGTTTCTATGAAAACAACAACAAATATAAGAAAGTCGAAAATAACTCTCTAAGTTTCTTTAAGAAGTTTCGATGTTCCGCTCTTTCAATTGTCGACCTGTTGATGACTTGTGCAGTTGTGCTAGCTCAAAGCTTGGGATCCATGTCTGAATGTGTAGAAGTCCATTACACCTTGCAATAATTTGATCCAAAAATGGGTCTATCTTGCCTACCATTTGTTTATCAAACTTGATTGGGTATAAATTCTTTATTAAGATTCTCTACAACCTAGCTTCAATTTAAAATTTTAAACGGTTTGAACATGAATCTTTTGGTTTTAGTGACTTTGTGTTTGTACATAACTGTTATAATCAAATGTGATCATAATCAAAACTCACTTGATTATATCTAATTATAGGCTCATATGAACATGCCTCAATTTTATAGACTATTTCATGATTCATGGTGAGCTAATGTTCGTATATTCGAAGAAAATTTATATATAAAGCAAATTAGAATCAAATACCTCAAGGTTGAATAGAAACCGAACCATCTTTTTAAAACAACTCATTTAACACTTCGTCACATTGAATTAGAGATAAAATATTTAGAGGTAAAAGCGTACATTTAACCCGACAATCATATTTACGCGTAAAATAAAATTTGGATTAGAGGCCTTAATGCCCTTACACTAACCAAAGTAAACGGCAATTCAATTACACAGCTAACACAGGACTACCTCCAAAAACCCTACTCCGACGGTTGAACTTCGTTGCATAGCAGAAATCGAGAGAAAGAGGAGAGAGAAAAGAGAGTAGAGAGAAGAGATGTGGAGATCCATAGCATCAAGATCTTCCTTCACCAGAAGCTTTGTGCGAAAATTGATTTCTTCTACCCAAACCCCACCATCTCAGGTAATCCATAAACCCTTGATTTCATCACATTTTACAGTTATCGAGAATCCCAGCAAGTTTTCATATCAGAATCACAGGTTTTTTTCTCATTCTTCTTCAATAAGTGAAATTGAAACTGAGAATCATGATTCCACTTCTTCTGAGGAAGTTGAATTGGAAAATGGTGGGGTTTTTGATGATACCCATGATGTTAGTTCTTCTCAAGAACTTGGTTTGAACCCTAATTTTGATGAAATTAATGATGCCCAGATGAGTAGTATTGGGTTAACTGATCAGGAGTTAGAAGGGGATAGTGAGGAAATTACTGGGGTTGATTTTGAACAATTGAAAAATGTATTGTCTTTGCTTTAAATGATGTAGATGGGTCATTAGAGTCTAGCCTTGATAGTATGGATTTGATGTTGAATGAGGAGTTTGTGGTGAGACTGCTCGTTTCACCGCTTATTCCTGGGGATCATTTGATTAGGTTTTACAAATGGGTTTCGAGTCGAAATGAATTTAAAGGTAATACTTTGTTGTTAAGTGAACTTGTCCGTGCTATTTGCAATGATTATGAACCCAAGAGGAAAGATGTTTATGCTTTGTGGGATTTGGTGAAGGAAATGGGTGAGAAAGAGAGTGGTGTTGTTAATGCTGAAATGCTTAATCAATTGATATCGGCATTTTCGAGATTGGGTAAGGGAAAGGCTGCATATGAGGCATTTGGGAAGTTTGAGGAATTTGGCTGCGTCCTGAATGTAGACAGTTATTATCTTACAATTGAGGCACTTTGCAAGAGGTCATTTTATGACTGGGCTACATTAGTTGTTCAGAAAATGCTTGATGCTGGAATGCTTCCAGAGAGTGAGAAGGTTGGTGAGATCATATCATTCTTATGCAAAGGATACAAGTCCAAGGAGGCCCATGTTGTCTATCTTGCTGCCAAGAGGGATAATAAGTATCCTCCTCAGAAGGCAGTTAATTTTTTGATAAGTTGTCTATCGAAGGTGGATGAAACTGTGGACTTAGCACAGGAGGCGCTGGTTGATTTTTCTGATGAAGTTCGTAAACATGCTATTAATCCGTTTTCATGGGTCATCCGCGGTTTGTGTAGGAAAAATGACATTGAGTGTGCTAAGAAGTTGTTTGCTGAGATGATGGAAAAAGGTCCGACTCCTGGGAATGCAATCTTTAATATTGTCATTAACTCTCTTTCCAAAGCTGGAGATATGGAAGATGCCAAGAGGTTACTGAAACTTATGGAGACTAGGGGACTGAAACCTGATGTCTATACTTATAGTGTCATAATTAGTGTTACGCAAAGGGTGGTATGATGGAAGAAGCTCGCAAAGTCTTATCAATGGCGAAAAGGAAACACGCCAAGCTCTGCCCTGCTACTTTCCATTCACTAATTCGAGGATATTGCAACCTTGGAGAATTTGACAGGGCTGTGAAACTGCTGAGTGAGATGAAGGACTCCGGGGTCGAGCCTAATGTAGATGAGTACAATAAGCTTATCCAATCACTTTGTTTGAAGGCTTTAGATTGGAAATCAGCAGAGAAGCTTCTGGAAGAAATGAAAGAGAAAGGTTTGTATCTACCTGGTATTACGAGAGGTCTTGTAAGTGCAGTTAAAGAGTTGGAGCAAGAGGCAGTTGGATCTGAAGATGATCATGCCAAACCATAGATTGTTAGTGGACCATGATCAATGTTGTAACATGAAGTGGCTCAAGCCGTTTTTTTCTTTTTCTTGTGGTAGTATTTCTTTTTGTTTTATTCTTTTCATTTTCATTTGGTTATCAAATTTTGGAGCTCTTAGGCATTAATCTGGATGGCATTGATTCCAGAACTGTTGATCAAATAGTACATCTTCTTTCATTTGGCTGGCTATGCCATTTCGTCTGTGGTAGCTGGATCTGTTAGGAAGTTAGTGCTTATATATATATGTGCGAAACTGTTGGTATGGAAACATCAACAGAAACTTTGCTCTTTTTTTTTTCCAGTGAGCAAAATAATCATGTCACTAACTCTTATGTATGATTTCCTTATCAATGGAAGCTAGGGTTGTGGCTTTTAACTATTTCTCTTTTGGCTAAGGGTGCATTGGTGGATATATTTTTGAGGGGTTTTCACCAGCCTTTGTTTGAGAGTTGGACAGTAGTAGAGGGTATGTAATATAAATTCTTTAATCATCCTGTTTCTTTTGCTTTTAAAAACCAAGCCTTTTATTATTTGGTCAAGCAGGTTTTCTGTAAGTTTTAGGGGTTTTTTCAACTCAATTCAATTCGTTTTAAAATTGGAGTTGTTCTAATTCAATTCAATTGTTTCAGATGGCTTTGATTCAATTTTGTAAAAAAAAAAAGAAGGATTTTATTTCTATGCGTTCTTAAGTTAGGGTTTTATTTATTTATTTGATTAAGATCGTTTAATGTCTAATTGACTTTACAATTTGGAGCAGTATTTTAAGTATCAATTTTTTGGGAATTGTAGCTTACTTATTTCCATTAAGACAGTAACCATTGGCCTTAAATAATACTATTTCGAACCGGAGTGAAAAGCTCATTGACTGAACTATCTTAATGATAATGAGGATTCATGACCTTGACATTTCCATGTTAATTGCTTCTACAGGAGTCAAGGCATGTTTAAGTATTTGATGTTATTACTTATTAGTGTATAATGGTTTCCGAGTATCATGGCCATGTATGAGAATATGCATTGATTTCTTTTGAAGGAAAGAACTGGTCAGATCAATGACAAATTATAGCTGCTATGACAACGAGCAATCAGAACATATTATGTATTTAGAATAATGGTAATTGAGATGACAAAAGGTTAATAGTGTAATAAACAAGTATGTGTCAAAAAAAAAAAGTGTGATAAACAAGTATGACCTAAATGTTGATTAGAGTGTCAACAAACTGGAAAGAAATCAGATATGTTAATCAAACTTGATGTAGCAACAAAGCTGGTTTAGACTTTGTGATGAAATAGTTTGATTTTCTTGATTTAAGTAGTTTTTTTATTAAAATATTGGTGTTGAGTTTTTTGATTATTTTTATCATTTACAAATTGTTTCTCAAATTTGATGATCGAATCTTTTTTTTATACTCCCTCCGTGTTTTAATAAATGTTACACTTTGACTAGCACATAGTTTTAGGCCATTTAATTAACTTAAATAAAATAAGAGGCAAGTGGGGTAGTTGAAGTATTAAAAAATTGTAAAAGAAAGATAGTGGGCTAATAGTTTATTGAAAAGTAATGAATGTGAGAGGAATGAAATAATAATAATAAAAAAAAAAGTAGTGTTGGGTTTGGGTGGGGATCATGAGAGGAGAGAGATTACATTTAAATATAGCTTTTTGCCAAAAAAAGAAGTGTAACACTTATTAAAATACGGCCACATTTAGTAAGTGTAACACTTATCAAACACGGAGGGAGCACATCTTATCATGTGTTGTCTTTTTTGTAGGGCTGGATATACGAGATCAAATTTCATCTGCATTGTGTATGTACTTTAAATGTTATATTTTTAATTATTTGCATAGATATCTTCTAATATACCACCAAGATGCCTTCTTTAGAATATTGCAGCATTCTTGGGGCTCTCCAATGAGTGAATTATGTTTACTTTCAGGAAGAACTTGAAAAGGAGGGGATATGGGACTTTGACGGTTAAGTTGTCCATACATTCGACAAGAGTTTTTATAGGTTAGATTTTATGATTAATTACCTCTTGCCTTCTTTATGCAATTCTTATCCATGCATTTTATATAATAGTTCCTAATATTATTATCAATTTCTTCTTTCAGGAGTAATTTGGCTCTTCTTGGACGGTTTTCCTAAACGAATGTCAAAAGGGGCATTTTGAGGTATACTATAGTTATAATCTTTTAAGTTCTAGCTTTCCCTACCCCGCTGGCCGTCAGGTGACTGTTGTACTTGATCAAACATTTTAAAATTTTTTGGGCATGCTCTGTTGCAAATTTGCAATTGCGCAAAACAAATAGTTTAAAATTTGGACAAAGCATCAAAAGACTTATGCTGATTTAAAAGAGACACCCTTATCATTTTAAAAGGTTTTTTTTGTCCTGTTTTAGCTGAAGCTATTATGTAGTTTCTGTTGTCTTCCATATACGTAGTATGTTTTGGAGGTGGCACTGGGTGACTAAGAGCTATGTTCAATTGGCTTGGTAGTAAATTGCTTACTGGCAAGCTGAATTATTGGATGTTAATTCAAAGCTGTTATGGCATGTATTTTGATAAAGCAGAACCTGGAAAAAAAGTTGTCAATTTTGTTCTGCAACATTTTGACGATCCTAATTTCAGATATTGTCCACTTTCCTGGTGTTGCGTTTTCTAATTCAAGGCACTCAATCTTCTATTGGCTTATTGCTTCTAAGTACCATAGCTCTGACATTTGTTCAGTTATAAGGAGCTTAATTTGCATTATTCTTCTTCTCCCTCTTTAGTCATCCATTCTCTATAACCATATGCATTTCAGGACTACTGATGACCTGATCAAAGTGTGTACTCCAGTCCAAAGTAAATGATTAGTAGTTTATATTTAAAAGAATCATCACTCTTCCAAGTTCCAAGCATTAGAATGGTGTTGACTTACTATATCACGTAGATTAATTTGGAGGTGTAGTGAAGAGGATACTTTAGGGGAGGGATCTTCAAAGATATAAGCTTGTATGAACGATTTTGCTGCAGCAGTCAGCATTCAGCCAGCCAGCAGTAAATTTGTATGTTGCATACTTCACTCTTCAGATAGGTTGTTGATTCCTAATAAATTTGTTTTCTTTTTCTCATTTTTTGCATTATATAATATTTTATTTGAAGCTAGGAACTATAGTATGAGAAGTTGTCAATTGTCATGGCATGAAGCTTCATGGTCACTAGATCACATTAATTATCGGGGGTATTCCATGTGCATGGTCCTTTGGAAAAAGGCTTCTGGAAAGGCCTATCTCTTGGTAACATTGGAAAATATTTGTCAAATTTTTATGCTGAATTTAGTGAGTGCATCATCCATCTAAGTTAGCATATGCCTGTAATATTGATGGTTGATTGATCGAGAGACGAGGATGGGAAAGACATGAAGTTGGGAACGGAAAAACAGGGGATCCCCCCCCCCTCCTTATTCTCACCATTTGTTTGGTATCCTTCCACCTCCATTAGGGTGATGTGGACTTGTGGGCGTTGTGGCCACCTGTGAGCTTTTACCTTTCAAGAAGGGGATCTTTAAAATATATGAATTGGCCTTTCAGCCTGATATGCAGTGTCAACTCTCAAGAATTTCTTTGCATTGCCAATAAAGATCAAAAGGCATTCTTTTTACTTGTTTAGCTTCTCCCTTCAGTTTAGTCCTCACAAAATCTACCCTTTTAACAGATTTGTAAGTAACATACATTTGGCTGTTATAAAAGACGACATTTCATTTATATTTTGAGCTATCAATTAGTAGGGATTCAAAATCCTCTCATTTTCCCTGCAGAAAATTAGTTGTTGACCTTTTTCTTGGAAGCGGGCCTAATGCAAAGCTTAAGAAAGGTGAATTTATGGAAGCTGCTAAAATCAGACTTCGAAAGGAGCCCAGTAATATTGAATTTCAGAAGGTCAGTGCTATTCTTTTTGTACAAATAATATTTCAGATCCTGCTTAACCAATTTGTGACAATAGTGATTTCTTATACAAGTATGATTTTACAGTCTGGTTTTATGAAGAGATATGCATTAATGTAGTAGGGAAGATTAAATGAACGGAGTTAGCATAAATATTAGGAAAATTGGCATAGGGAAAAAAAAAATCAATCTAAACTATAGAATGTGAATTTAAGATTAAGAACTCAGCATTGCCAACTTTCAACATACATTAGTACCTCGACTCATATACAAAATTGATATGAGCGTTGCTGACAGTGGAAGATTTCTAATAATATTTGAACTTTTTTTTATATATATATATATATAATTAAATAAAATCCATAATGTGGCAAAGCCTTGCTTACTCTGTATGCCTTGTGCTTTTATACTTTGTATCTGAAATTCTGAATAGGAAGTTGGTTATGACACTGGCTTAAATTCATCTCTGTTAATTTTTTTTTTCTTCTTATTGTGGTAGGTCACAACTGAATTATGTGTATCAAAGGGAGGGGCTTGGGTGCTAAAAAGTGGCGATGGAGTACCTAGATGACTGTCAACTTATTTTGAAGACGATGTAGTTGTAGAGGATGCAAGAATACCAGGTATATGATATTGTACTGTTATGATACTGATATAATTGTGTTTTTATTTGCAACCCGGTCTACATGTTCATCAAATTGAAATGCTGAGCCTTGCAGTTTTGTCGCTGCTGATATTGTCCAGCAGAAGACAACGAGTTATCAATTGGTGAAGAAAGCCATAGAGCTTGTTGAGTACTGCTAAAAAGATGGCTGTGCTTGATTGAGGATGGGAAGACATGCCATTGAGCGAGGAATTATAAGTGGAGTGCACTAACCATCTTTTTTTCGCGGGAGGCTGGGGGATCCTGCTAATTGCTAACTGAGAAGTACATGATGCAGCCGTAAATATTACGAATGACAGTTATTTCGAGGGTTTCTAGTTAGATAATGGTACCAATCTTTGCCAATAAATAGTTAGAGTGAGTATTGCCGTATTGTAATTTTTCTTATATCCTCGCCTACCCCCTCCCATACACCCTTTCTCTCCCCTCGGACGGTTGCATCAGCAATACCCATTCAAATTCTCCCTCTCCCACACTCTTCCATAATATTATGGGTCATAATGTTATAAAATAATTCCCAAGCTCGACTTGATCAAAGCTTGACTCAATTTCAATGATCATATCAAGCAATTCTTGTGATCCAACTTGAATTGCTAAAGAGGTGGTCAAAATTTGTATGTATAGTATATTGATTGTTTTTTATAAACCAAAATTTTTTGAATTTTTTTGGATATTAATTACTAGTATTATATTGTATTTGTTTAACCTAATTTAAAAAACTCTATTTGATGGATTACTGGTATTATTCGTAATATAAAGTGGCTAATTTCGTTTACTCAACAAAATAAAACGTAGTACGAATTTTTTGTTTTTTTTTTTTTTTTTTTTTTGGGTGCAAATAGAAACACTCAATTGACAGTTGGTTAGTAGCTTTTACAAGTTGAACACGTGAGCTCAAAGCCAACTTTGTAGAGTTTGGCTCTATATATCACGGCGGTGGAAATGCACTTTGATTTGATAATCCTCTACTCATTCTAGCTACTTCCATCATCCATAAAACTTATACTAAAAGCAAATCCTTCCATGACACTTGTCATGACCTTGTGAAAAAATTTCCCCCTTTTACCTTTTTTTTTTTTCCTCTTTTTTTGCAAAATTTTATAAGTAAACTATTTATACCTTATGATATTTTCTATCCACTTTAACAATTATATTTCATATATAGCCAAATAAAATATTTTTGAATATCTTTTATATACTTTATATAGTATTTTGTAATATTATTGTCAAAAATAGTTAACAACCGTGCATTGCACGGGATTTTAACCTAGTTGTACCTAATTTCCACCCTAGGCATATAGTTGCTCTAAATATTTAAATGTCACTTATAACCTTTTTAAATGCATGAATTTATTAACAAAAAAAAAAAGGTTTATATTTAATGTAAAAATTAGTAATTTTAAAGTTTAAATACGAATATAACATAGAAACAATAAAAAAAAAGTTTTCAATGTAAAAGTCAGTAATTTTAAACAATAAATATATTGATAACCGGTAAAAATAACTTTAGGTGTAAAAATAAGGTGTAGAGTTGTTTCAAGGAAAAAAAAAAAAACATTTGGTGTTCTTAGACATGATCTTCATTATATAAAAAAGCGAACAAGAGGTAAAAAAAAATGTATTTATATCTATTTATCTATTTTTTTTTTAACATTTTTTTTTTTATGATGATTCTTACTATGTAGCTCACTTACATCATAACAAAGGTACACATTTATTCCTCTAATTCAATGGAGCGTTCTTCTAATTAACTGTTATGAAAATCCTTATAAGATAATTTCTCCTTTTCAACACGTTGCAAAACACCTTGAATACGACGTGACAAAGAAGTCTGTAGAAGCATCCACAATATATACAACACTCTGACAATCAGCATCACTAGCAAAAACCTCAACAACTAGCAATTTTAAAGGATTTGCATCATTCAATATATACAATAACTAATACATCGCCGCATGGTCTTATTTTAGCCCCTTAAGGCAGGTAGTTATCTCTTTGACATGTTGCAACGAGCACGGAGGTGGAGTATCTACAGGAAAGATATTAAACTTAATGAACACATAACTTCCAATATCTCATCAATTGAGCTCATCCTAATAGTTAGTTTCTCAACATTGGGAGCATGATTATGAAAACGTATCTACGTTTTCCAACAAGTATGAGATGTTTTCTTAAATTCAAGATGTCTTAAATTATGAAATATTGGCAATTGAATATCACCATTCAAAGCAATTACCAAAGTAAAAACACGACAAAAGAGCCTTAACACTGCGAAATGCCCAAAATAACTATGTGCCTCTACTCATTCAATCTTGGCCTCTAAAGAATACGTTAAGCTTGCACTTTGTAACTCTCTTGGTTCCCGGATAAACCTAAACTCCGAGTGACTTAAAACTGAAGCTTCAAACACCTTCAAATTAGGGGCATCAATATCTACATGTATGGTCTCAACTCTTCCCCTCAAATTGTGTGTATGAATACACAATGACTTTAAATTTGATGATGAAACAACCACATGAATGTCTCTATCCCCATCCCATACTATCAAAATCTTCATCAAAATTCATACAATCTCAACTCTTTAAGACAAGGGCAAGAATTAAACAGAATGGCCAACAAATTTTCGTGATTATCGTTAAGATGACTTATGTTAATAATTTTTAGATTAGGAACACTAATTTCATCTGGCAAAGTAATTATATTAAGTTGTATGCCCAAAATGAGATATACCAATGACTTGCATTGGAAGAGACACGGTGATAATGTGGTTGAAATTTCATCTTCATTAGTAATATCTCCAAAAAAAATCGGACCACAATAGTCTCTTGACTAGTGTAGCGATTATATAAGGAGTAAGAATAACCAAACTCGGGGGCTTGGTACGGGTGGTCATCGAGAAGGAGTACAAAGATTTGGATTTCAGGCGATAAAAGTTGAGGTAAATTAAAACATGGTTAATGATTGAAGATGAATTAAATGCCTTACTAGTTGATTTGTCGAAGCGAGAAGCGGTGATGAAAGTCCAAAGGTGAAACCATCTCTTTGATAATATACCGGTCATGATAGCGGATTTAATATGAAGGAGTGAGAGAATAATGATGCGAATTAAAGTCGGAAGTGAGCTCAATCTATCTTCTTCGCCTTGAAGTCCATACCATTTTTGGTATCTAAAATCCATGGAAGGTTGTAATTTGAATTTGTGGAGAAGGGGTTTTGGCTTTGCTAGTTTGATAAAATGAGCAATTTTTAGGAAAACTTAATTCACCTATTTGCAAATAAGACAAATGGATTAGCTTATGGAAATGAACATTGTAATAATTTGAATCATTATACATATAATTAAAGGTTATTAATTGAGGAGAATCACATTAGATTTTTTTTCCCGCGAATACTGGCAATGAATCTGTAAAGAGTGAATGGCACCTCGTCTGAAAAAAAAAAATAAAAAAAAATCACATGAGATCTCCTACATAGATATGGTAAAATAACAGTCGATTTTTTGAGATATT